AGGCCGCACTCTGAGAACAAGGGCGGGCAGTGAGCGGTGCGGGGCCTCCTCGTGGGAACGCACCCTCCTCCTCCCCGACCCAGATCCGGTCCAGGCTTCCCGAGCCTGCTGGGGCCTGGAGGCCAGGCCTACGGGCCAACAGGGACCATCCAGGTCCAGGGCGGGAAGGAGGGCGGGGAGGGAAGGTGGGGGCAGCTAGTGGGGAGGGCATAGGCCCTCAGAGCCACCCCTCTGGGCCTGCCCAGTCCCTCCCTGTACAGAGGGAAGACAGCTCCCCTACACTGGCGAGCGGAGACGCCGCAGTGAGCAGGCTGGTGGCCTAGGGGCCACTGACGAGGTCGGGGTGCAGGGTAGCCCCCCCAACCTGGAGAGAGTGGCAGCAGAGTCGGGGTGCAGTGGATGCCCCGTGTGGAGCCCAGGTGGGCCCCCAAAGGCTTCCTGGTCAGCTGCTTCGCAGGGCAAGAGGCTCAGGCACAGTGCACCTGATCCCCACACTCCCTGGCCAGGTCCCTGAGAAGCAGCTCAAGGGATGGAAGGTTTCCTAGTTAAAGAAGTAAAGAGGGAAGCCCTGGAGGTGGTGCCCGCCTGTCCTCCCAACACTCGGGAGGCTGAGGCAGGAGGATCACCAAGAGTTTGAAGCCAGCCTGGGCTACGTGATGAGTTCAAGAAGAACGAAAAAGGAGGAAAGGTGATGGCAGACTCACCTATGCAGCGCAGGGAGACCACGGTGTGTGACGAGCAGGCGTCACTGAAACAGAGCGCAGGCGTGGGTCACGTGGTGCAAGCAGTACCTGGACACACGCACACCTCCCAGCACCCCATCTCCTGTCCCCCAGGACAGAAAGGTGCCCTACTGAGACCTAACACGGTGATGAACTCCACGTAGGGCACATAGCACAGGGCAGACAGGGAGTCAGACAACCAGGCTCAGGTCCCACTGTGTGGCCTGGGACAAGATGCTTAACCTCTCTGTGCTTGCTGCCCCCACAGGGCAAACGAGATGATAATAGTTCCTGAGGCTGAAAGCCTCCAACCTGCAAAGCTAAACCCTGACACGCACCGAACTCCAAACCCTTTCAGGCCACAGGCGGAAAAGCCCACAGCTCCCTTGGCAGGAGGGGTCGCAGTGGGCACAGGTGTGCCCAAGCATTACGTGTGTGTGTGTGTGTGTGTGTGTGTGTGTGTGTGTGTGTGTGCGAGTGCACAGACGCAGGACACGGAAGTGGGCTTCCTGTTCAGACCCCGCCCTCCTCAGGAAGTCCCACTGTGTTTATGTTAATTTTCCAAATCTGAAAGAACTGGGGTCACGAACGCGCCGGGCACAAAGGCTCCTGAGAAGGGCGCCCAGCTGCAGGCCCAGCTCCAGGGTCATCTGGGCTCAGGCAGCGCTCACTCTGCCCGCGGCTTCTTAGGCAGCTGAATCTGGCCTGGCTGCCTTCCAGCCACCTTCACACAAACTGCAGGAAGTCCTGGCAGCCAGTCACAGGGCCCCCACTTCTGGGGGCGCCCCTGGGTCCCCACACTGTTCCCTGGCCAGGTGGTGTGGACCTTGAGGACTTCAGCTGTGGAGCGCTCACGGGGCCAGGTGGAAGAAAGCACATTGCCTTGGAAAGGTGACATTTCCAGAGGACCCTAAGGGGACAGGGACACCAAGACGCAGCCAGCAGGGCCTGGGGACCAGGGATCTGCAGAGCCTGGCCAGGCGCCAGCAGAGAGGCGGCTCTGAGCCTCCCTCTCGCCCAGTCCCGCCACCAGGCAGGGCGTGATATTCTAGACAGTGACCTTCTCTTCTTCCCCCAAAGCCGCTGCCACACCGAGTTCCCGAGAGGCCTGCCAAGGACAGCAGCCTCTCCTCCCCTTCCCAGGACAGGAGGAAGACGCTGGCACCGTTCCCACCCACACCTGCGCAGAGCAGGGGTCCCAAACATACACAGAGCACACTGGGGGGCCCAGGTCCCATCCCCACCCCCCAGCTGTCACTCCCGTCCGGCCTGTTTGTGTTCATTCCCCTGCTGGACACAGAGGGACCTGTGCCCAGGGTCCGGCACACTGCCCACCCTGTCACAGGGAGGCCCCAGTGTCTGGGGCTCCCCTGAGAAGGAGGACCACCTGTGATGAGGCCTGCAGAGCTCAGGGTCCACCAGAAAAGCTGGTCACCCTGGCTGGGCGCCCCCCTGCTGCGTCTTGAATGGGATTTGGTCCTCCAAGTCTAATGTCATGGCACTGGGGGACCGGGGTGGGCCAAGGCCAGGTCCTCAGGAAGAGGCCGGATTACACTGGGCCCCCACGGTGCAGCTGCCTAAGGACAGGGAGAGCACGGCCCTCCCCGCACTGTGAAGTGGCCTGAGGGGCACTTGCCAAAGCCAGAGCCACAAGTCTGAATCCTGGGCCTCCAGAGCCTGGAGCCAAAATACAGGTCTGTTCCCTATAAAGGAGGCTGCTCGGGTGTTTTGTGACAGCTTCATCCCAAGACTAAACCACAGCTCTGAGAGCAGCCAGTCCCGGCTCGGTTCTATTGCCCCCCCACGCCCAGCATGGAGCCTCCCAAACCTAGAACCGCAGCATGGAGGAACCAGCTCCGACCCAGGTTGCCCTGGGGTCTCCTGGTTCTGCAGAGGAGAAAAGAAACAGGCACACACCTGAGGTACAGTTTCTTGTAGAGATCCACGCTGCCCGCGCTTGTGTTCAGCTTCATAAAACTGGTTGCCCCGCTGTCGTCCTTTATTCTCCCGCTAGAATAAAAGCTGTTCCTAAATGGATAGAAAATAAACGGTCACACGAGTCCTGCGCTGCATCCGGGAACCCCTCTGGGGTGACACCTGGAGCAGGCGGCATCACCGTAGCAACGGAAAACACAACCGGAAGTCCCAATCCCCAGACACAGTACTACAACCGGCATGTTCAGTCCGGTAACCTTGCGCCTCGGGGATAAAGCCTTGCAGCGATCGTGTTTCTAATCCAGCGTGGGTTAGTGAGGATGGGATTAAGGGTGTAGGGGTACGGATGTGGTGAGATCGAAAAGGACAGTGAGTGTTCAAAATTTAAGAAGTGCTATACCAGGAGACGCACTGCCGTGACTCCCCTCAAAATGCTCCCCCTTGATTTGAACACCCTCATCCCACGTCCGGCCACTTCCTGCTGCAGCTCTGGAGCCCTCTTTCCTGAGTGTCTCTAGTTCCTCTGTCCTGGCTGCCTCGATGTTCTGAATGGACCCAAAACATTTCCCGTTCATGGTCAGTTTGACCTTGGGGAAGAGCGGGGAGTCACACAGGGCCAGATCCGGTGGCTGAGGACACAGCGTCGTGTTCACGAGCTGCCTTTCTGCTGGATGGCGCTCGGCAGCAGGATTCACACCTCGGAAGGCGTTCAGGAAAGAGGCCTCCAGAGCTGCTGCAGGAAGCGGCAAGGACGGCGGAGGAGCATGTCTGAGGTGACGGAGAGGATTTTAGGGGGACTTGTGGCACTGCCTGTTACTATGATAAATTTTTAATTTAAATTTTCACTGTGCATTTTGATCACACCCATAAAGCCTAATAAAACACACAGCTGTTGGAACACTCCCCATTGTAGCGCACGGAGCCACAGGGGACAGGGTGCGAGGATAAAATGACATCCCCTGCCCGGCCCCTCCCCACACCGGCTGCCCTTTTCTGCCAAGCAGAGACAGTGGGAGGAGGCTCCGGACACCGCCCCATGCCTGCCAGAACTCCAAGCCGAATAAACCTCTGTTTATTACAAATGAGCCAGGCTCGGGCCTCTGTACAGGCCCGACACGGGTGAGGAACAGGGTCCTGCGGCCCGTCCTTCTGGGGCTACACACACTCACTTATAGCCCAGGTCCGCGCAGGCCGCCCACCCGTAGCTGTCGCTCCAGCCGTCCTGGCACACGGGGTACCAGGACTTGCTCTGCGGAGAGAAGACCTGGAGGATGAAGCTGGGTCCGTACAGCCGAACTGCAAGAGAAGGCTCCCCGTGAGCGCCCGGCACAGAGGTCCTGGCGGCCTCCGAGGTGGCAGTCGGTGAGGCCTTTGTCACATCCAATGGGGGCCGTGTTGTGTCCCCCGAAATTATTTTGCGTTCATTACAAAAAAGATCTGAAACTGAGTGTCCAGACAGACACACACGTGCCCTGGTGTCCCCGGGGTGCATGGAGACCAACAGATCCAGGACAGGAAACGGGACGTCACGGGTCACAATTGGGCCCGACGTGCTGACACGTGCCTTCACCTGAAGGGGCTCTGAGGACACTGCGGCCCACAAGAAGCCGGGCACACGGGCTCACGCAGAACCTTTCAGGCGTGTGAGATGTCCGGTTCCGGAAACCAAGACACCAAGCCGAGCAGTGACCGCGTGGGCTCGAGGCCGGGCTCCTGGCCGTGATCGCAGTGGACAGTGGCAGTGGTGGACTTATCTGCACGCACTTCACAGGGTGGATCTACGCGTATGAATGATATCTCAGGAAAGCTGGGGGCCGGGCGTGTTGCTCAGTGGCACCGTGCCTGCCTGGCAAGTGCAAGGTCCCGAGTTTGATTCCTGGTACCAAAGAAACTCAATAAAGCTGGTTTTAAAAATGAAGAAATGAGGGCCGGGGATGTAGCTCAGTGGCACGGTGCCTGCCTCGCAAGTATAAGGTCCTGAGTTCGATCCCCAGTACCAAAAATAAATAAATAAATAAGTGACCAGGAGACAGGAAGACAGCGGTTAGGTCTTTTGCAAATGGGAAGGGACCGAGAGATGGAGGGAGGGGAGAGGAGAGGAAGGAGGAGAAGAGGATGCAAGAGAACGAAGCTGAGTTAGCAACGCGGGCCAATGCCACAGTATGAGATCGTTCTGTGCTGCAGCCCTGGACTAATAAAATAAAGTTTTAAAAACTAAAAGGTTACATAAAGTGTAAAAACAAAGCATTCTTTCAGCGCTCACTTGGTACAACACCGACACTTCCCGGGTCCAGACCCTGGCCTAAGGCACAGCACCCGGAGCCGTGACCAGGCCCCGCAGGAAGGGGCCTCCGGTGCTCCCACACTGGGCCACGCGTTACCACAGCAACCTGGCATCTGTGCACGCAGTCCAGCCCCTCCCCGTCTTCTCACAATGCAGGGCCCTGGGCACTTTTGGCCCACCAGGGTGGCAAATGAACAGAACCGAAGCCTCCAGAACTGGCCGTTCCAGTTCCCATGGTGACCAGGGCACTCGCCGCTGCGGGAGGAGGCCTTAGGCAATGATGTCACCTGGGAAAAGCCCGGAGCCAGAAGCAGTGCCAGGCAGGGAAGACCTCGGGCCTGACCAACCCGGCTCTGTCTGTGGCCCCTGGGGGAGGAGCACGCTGGGCGAGACGTCAGATAAAGCTTTGGAGGAGAGAGATCCCACCTGCCATGTGCGACCCGGCCACTCACAAGGCGAGGGCACACAGCAGCCGTGGCACCGTGGACAGGGGTCTCATTCCATGCTCAGGAGAGGGCTGAGGGGCAGGAAAAGACGCGAGGGCCTTGAACCCGTATCGCAGCCTTAGGGATGCACCGGGAGGGCATCGGGTCAGGGCTGGCGGGGCATCGGGAGGGTCCACGGGGCACAGAGATGCCAGGCAGCCCTCCCGGGTGCTGCCAGGGTGGAGTCCTAGGGCACCACGCCTCGGTCAGAACCCACGGACAGCAGGGTGGGGAGCGAGTCCCGGGGCGAACCGGGGCCTGCGGCTGTTCACAGCACCACACCACCGCGAGGTCTTCGCAGGGCCTCCGCGCTGCCTGTGTGAACGGACAGCACAACAACCACGAAGGAAACCAGTGTGGGGAATCTGAATGCTAAAACTAGAGGTTCCTCCCACACGACCCAGCCGTTCCCCTCCTGGTATCTTTCCGAAAGAGTTAAAGACACCACATTACAGCGACACAGGCAGGCCATGCTCCCGACAGCACAATTCAGCTCAGTCCTGGAAGAGGCCTACGTGTCGATCAGCAGATGAAGGGATAAAGAGGGCGTGGCGTTCACACGCAGTGGAGCACTACTCTGTCATAAAGAAGGACAAACAATTCATCTGTAGGATGCACTGGAGGCCACACTGTCGAGTGACATAAATCAGGCACACTGTATTCAGTATCACATCGTTTCTCTTTTACGAGAAAAGCAAGGTAAAAATAAATCAAAGAAGAAAATGTAAGATAGAAAGGCAGATTACAGGAAACAGGGAGAGAGGGTTTTTGCAAATGGGAAGGACCAAGGGATGGGGCGGAGGAGAAAGAAGAAAGACATGTTCCGCAGGGCACCAGCTCCCCACGATGACCGTGACTGCGATGTGTCACAAGCCACCCATAAAAATGTGCCCAGGGCCCGGCTGGGGGAGGGGAGGGGACCCTGAAGTCTGCACCTCTGCTCCCTTTTCTCTGAATCTAACATCGCTCTGGAAAGTACGGACTACCGAGAGCTTCTTCAAGTAGCTGCCATGAAATGCGTTTCCACAACGAAGGGCAAGACCGGCCCTGTGTGCGGCAGAGGGAGGGAGAATCCGGCCCGGCTGGGGCCTCCGCCCGCCGCCCCCACGTTCCCTGCCTGCTTCGAGGGCGGTGCCTCCGGGGTGGAAGTGACAGGAGGATGTGTGTGACGCGGGGTGTGTGACAAGGTGCCCGGGTGCAGGCCCTGGCAGGAGAATCCGGCCCGGCTGGGGCCTCCGCCCGCCGCCCCCACGTTCCCTGCCTGCTTCGAGGGCGGTGCCTCCGGGGTGGAAGTGACAGGAGGATGTGTGTGACGCGGGGTGTGTGACAAGGTGCCCGGGTGCAGGCCCTGGCCAGCCCAGGCGCGCAGTGGTTGGAGGGGTCCATGTGTGGGGTTGTGCGGGCTGTGTGCGGGGTGTGTGCGGGGTGTGTGCAGGCTGCGTGTGGGCTGTGTGCAGGCTGTGTGTGGGCTGTGTGCAGGCTTCGTGTGGGCTGTGTGCGGGCTGTGTGTGGGCCCAGGCACACTGGGCTGTAGGAGCTCAGGGAAAGGGAGCAGAGGAATTGGATGACAGAAGCCAGGGCCTCTCCCACACCGGTAGTCACCTCCCTAGAATCCCTGGGCCAGCACTGACGTCTCTGGGGCACAGGATGCAGGTTCACTGTCCAGGACCCGCCTCACCGGGCACCTCGCACAGGCGCTGGGGTTTTCACCTAAACTCCCACAGGGTGTGAGCAAATCCAATGGAGGAGTCACGGTGCCACCCTGACTCTGACTTTCTGAGATTTCCGAGGAGCTGGGGATGCACTGCAAAGGCCCTGGGGTCCATCTCCACATACAACAGACAGAAGGAAACAGAAAGAGAAATGCAGATTAAAGCACAGTGCAGTAGCACCTCACACCTGCTTGGCTGGCTGTTAACAAATCCATGAAAGACAGTGAGCCTGGGAAGGGTATAGAGAAAAGGGAGTCCGTGACAGTTGGTGGAATGTAAACTTGGGGGTGGAAAACAGTGTGGAGGTGCCTCAAAAAATTAAAAATAGATCTACTGTATGATCCAGCTATCCTGCTACTGGGTTTCTGCCCAAAGAAAATGAATAGTACGTCGAAGATCACTGCTGTGTTCAATGGAGCATAATTCGTAATAAACAGTCAAGCTATGGGATTGACACCATTAAAAGATGAACAGATCATCAAGAAAATGTGGCAGATGTGCACAAGGAAATACTACTCAGCCTTCAAAAAGCATGATATTCTAGCACTTGAGAAGCCAGGCACATATGCACACGCGTACACACACACACACATGAACACACACACGAACACACGTTCTCGTGTGCATGTGGAATTCTGAAAAGTCAATGACCACCAAGAGCAGAGTTGTGGTTACCAGAGGCTGGGGTGGCGCCGAGGAGAGGTCTGTCCGAGCACAGTTTTGTTCAGACAAGAGGAATAAACCCGCGAGTCCGTCCGCGACGCGGTGCCAGCGTCAACAGCCTCCGAGCGCTGCAAAGGCTAAGAGAAGACGTGGGGCGACCTCGCCAGCCCGCAGGAGGGAAGGAGAGGACGTGCGTCAGACTGGGCGACCAGAGCGGAAGCGACCAAAGCGCAAGCACACACTTGTGAGGCGGCCGGGCGGGCGGAAAGACAGCGAGTCTGCGAGCTGGGTTCAGAGACCCTGCGGGAAGCCGGAGCCGGGGCCCACACCGCCGACCCGGACGCGCACTCACCGCAGCCGCTCTCGTCTTCCCCGCTGGGGCAGTGCACTTCGCCGTCGCACCACAGCGAGGGGCTCACGCAGATCCCCGAGCTGCCGCACTCCATCCCCGACCCCACGCAGGGTTTCTCCACTAGCACAGGGCAAGGAAGGGAGGCTCCCGTCGGCAGGGGGAACCAAGGGACCCGTCCCCCGAGTCCTCTCGTCGCACACCCCGCCGCCTGCCCCCCGGCTGCAGGGCCCACACGGTGCCGGGCACTGCGGGGAGATGCGGTCACCCGGGGCCACTCGGGCAGCAGATGGACACCACCAGAGGCAGAGAAGGACCGGGCGCCTCAGAGTGCTGTCCGTGGCTCACTGCACTTACGGAACTTCCACAGCAGGACGGCGGCCACCGCGACGACCACCAGGACGGCCCCCAGGGCCAGGACGAGGCACAGCAGCCGCTTGGTCCCTGTGGGAGCGGAGAGCAGGACGCTGGGGTCAGCCCCGTAGAGAGGCGCCTCGAGGCTCATTTGCCGCTCTTTCTCCGTTTTTCTGAAATAGGGTCCAGGCTGGCCTTGAACTTGTGGGGATCCTCCTGCCTCAGCCTCCTGAGTGCTGGGATTCCAAGTATGCGCCACCACGGCTGGCTTCACCCACTGCTCAATAGACTTGTGATGGGGTCGGGATAAACCACCGCTCCAGCTGAAAACATCCCGGGTCACAGGGCACTGTTACCTGCACCGCAACCTCCCAGCCCAGCCTCACCCAGCGGACGGTGCTGAGAACTCTGTCACCCACAGCAGGCTACAGCTCCTCAGAGCCTCACAGAAAACCTGCTTCGGGGTACAGCGCCATGTCTGCCTGCTCACCAAATGCGGCACTGAAACTGAACAAAGGGATGGAGGGGCTCCCAGCACCTCTGTAAAGTGGGGGCTGTGCTTTGGACCTGGTAAGTCAGGAAATGAGGACCCTAGTACAAAATTAGATATCTTGCATGCTTAAAAATGTGAGTACGAGTCTGCATGTGGTGGCACAGGCCTGTAATCCCAGCACTCTGGGAGGCTGAGGCAGGAGGATCACAAGTTCAAGCCCAGCTTGGGCTACCCAGCACTTGCTAAGGCCCTTTGGCCCCAGGACAGTGACCCTGAGCTCAGAGCTCGAATAAAATGATTTGGAGAAGAATAAAATAATTCAGCTAAGAATAAAGTAATTTGGAGGAGGTCACTGATTTTCTCCAAGCAAAACAAATGGCAATTCTGGTCCCAGGGTGTGACCCAAAGCTGTCGTGTTTCTGAGGACAGCAGAACAGCGAAGGTACCTCAGGAGGAGGCATCAGGAGCCAAGGAGGAGGCACCCGGCCAGCTCCCCCAGCGCATCCCCAGCTCAGGAGGCCTGGGTTGTCCCTGGAAGAAGGGAGGAGCTGGAGGAGAGAGCAGGCTGAGAAGACCCTCCCGGGTGGGAAGGCCCCGGGGAAATGGGCCCCATCTCCAGGAAGTCTGGCCAGCGGGGAGCTGCATGCGAGTCTCATTGCCACCAGGTCACAGGTGAGGCCAGGGCCCCGGGCTGGGCGCCACACCCAGGTAACCACGTCAGCTTCCTGTGTGCCCCTGTATCTGCGGTGCGATGACAAATTGCTTGATCCCTTGCAAGGTCCTGGGTTCAATCCCCAACCCAGAGGAGGAGGGAAAACTTCCCGCAGTTAAGCAGCACTAAACCAGGAGCGCCCAGCCTCGCACTAGGGGCTGACAGGCTGCTTTCTGATTGCCAGGAGCCCCACTTTTACCTTGGACGGGCCACTGCCACCAGTGTGGTCAGTGCCACCCCCGCCAGTCCTGGCTGCTAACCCTGGGTGCTGGTGTAGGAAAAGAGCAGGTGGAGTCGGCACAGGAACTCCGGCCTTCTAAAAAGTAGGAGGAAAGAGATGTGCAGCAGCCTGAGTTGTAAACTGCAGGCAGTCTATGCTTTTACTTCTGCCTCTGTGCAGGGGCCACTGCCTCCCTACTCCTTAGGCTGCTACCCCTGCCTGAGCTCCCGTCCGAGCCCACAAGCCCAGACGCTCAGCCACAAGCAGACCACCCAGGCAGCTGCAACTGCTCTTGGAAGGAGACATCCCCGGCCCAGACTCCGTAAGCAGGACCGCTGCCCCATGCCCGGTGGTCACCCAGCTCTGGACCCCACCCTGCGGAGTGGCCTTGTACAGCCTCCTGCAAATAAGCCCTTTCTGCCTGGCTTGGTCTCCTGTTCCTCCCTCTACATCAGAGAGACAGACGAGTTCGAGACTGCACTGGCAACTCCAGACCTACCAAAAGAAACCTAGCAGACAGGGTCAGTGTAACCCAGCCCAAGCAGGAGTGAACTCCAGCCTCTTCTCTCGCTTTCTGAGATCTCACCGACCATGAACCAGCACAATCAAAACCTCCTACCGCAGATACAGTGGCACGCAGGAAGCTGACGTGGTTACCTGGGTGTGGCGCCCAGCCCGGGCCCTGGCCTCACCTGTGACCTGGTGGCAGTGAGATTTGCACTCGGCTCCCCACTGGTCAGACTTCCCGGTGATGGGTTCCAGTTCCCCAGGGACTTCTGAGGCTGGGTGGGGCCCCAGGGGCAGTGTGCGGTGCTCAAGGTGACGGGCGTGGCTTCACGCTCAGAGCATCAGGGTCCACTCTGGTCTGCCCAGCTCCTGGCTGCTGACCTCCAAGCTCAAGTGCATGGAGGTGGGGACCCCACAGGGACCCTGTTCTGGGGGAGTCCATCCCTATGCTAAATGGCAGTGTGCAGTGCTCAGCGCCTCACTGGCTTTCCGGTGGTCCCCAGAGAGTGGGCCAGAGCCAGTCACCCGGACAGCTGAATGGCATTTGTCGGCCAGGTGGGGAACCAGGTCAGAGGTCATTTGGACATGCCCACTCCTGGAGAGCTGGCGCCCTGTTCTGCCTTCTGGTCTGTGCCTGGACTGCGTTTATAGACCAGCCTGCTGCTCAGAGCCCAAGACCCTGGCCTACCCTGGCCAGGGTTTAAATTGACCGGCCCGTCACCAGGAGGAGGCCCCTTGGTTTGGCCAGAATGGGGGACATCACAATTCAATGGCCTCTCTTCGAGGTCCACAACAGTTTCTTCCAGACCGTCTCCAAACTGTATTTCTCGGGGGAAGCTGTGCACCTCCCCTAGAAATCAGCTTCTCCACCCTACTGTGCCTCACAAGAGAAAGGGACTCATGGGAGAGCGAAGTACAGGGACTGCCATCCTGTGACAGCAGGGCATCGGGACTCCATAAAGAGAGCTCTGTGCAGGCTGCCTGGGGGAATCCCTCAGCCTGCCAGGAACTGGGTGGGATGGGGCTTGTCTCCCCTTCCTGTCCGGCCCACTTTGGCTAGAACAGGGGCCATTCTTGGTCCTTTGAAGGAGAGTGGCCTGCAGGGCACCTGAGCTTCACCAACTGCCCTCAGATGGGTTTGCTGTGTCAGAGGGAAGGTGGAGCAAGGCGCCCCGTGTCTGGCCCTTCTTTCCCTCTGGGACCATCTGGGCTTGTCGGCGCTCGGGGCCCTCACTGTTGGCGGCACTGTCCTGCCCTCCCCGGATCATGGGGGCGGGGCTGAGGAAGAAGGCAGGGCCCAAGGTCATGCTGCACCTGAGGGAGCCTGCCCCAACCCCGCCCTCTAGCAAGGTGACTGCGTTCCATTTTGAGGGGACCAGAACATTCACTCCCTCAGAATTGGGAAAAATCCAACACGAGCTGGGAGGTGTCTGGGGGGACCTGGATGGAGGGTGCTGGGAATTGGATGCTTACCTCAAAGAGGCCACTAAGAGCCTACAACAGGGAAGGGAAGCAGGGAAGACACAGGAAGTTAGTGGCTGCCCTGAAGGATTTTCAGGCCCAGGAACGGGGGCTGGGAAGCAGCAGGCCCTTCTGTGAGCCACAAATGGGCCCGGTCCGGGGTCCCTGTGGACTCTGCGTGGGAGAGCCTGCCTCAGAAACAACAGCCCTGTCCTCAGAGTGAGTGAGGTCCCCGGCCCATTTCATCAAATCCTGTCAGCCTTGAGGCGGACGGAGCCCGGAGCTCTCCACCTGCTGAGCTTCTCTTCTGCCCTGGAAGCCGGGGGCTGGCCAGGGCCATGACACACACAAGACAGAGCAGACACCATGGGAGGATCCCTGCACGGGAATTCTTAAAGAGGCAGGAGGCGGTGGAGGGACACAGGACTGGGGTCCATCCAGGAGACCCCACCTCCACCCACAAGGGCTGTGGCCCGCTCCCCTCCTGGCACAAGGTGGAAAAAGTGACTGAGTTTCCGTGTCAACCCCAGCAGCCACATGGCTCTCGAGACACATGTGTGGGGAGATCGGACCTTCTACATCCGGGCTCTGCACGCCAAAGGCAGGCGCGGTGTTCACTGCGGACCTCACCACCACCTAAAGCCGTGAGGCAGGAAAGAGCCTGCAGAAGCCACTTGGCAAGGGCAGGGGCTGAGCAGAGCAGTGAGCCAGTCGAGATCCAGGCGCGGACGGCAGGGAGGCCTGGGGGGCAGCTATGCGTACGGGGACAGCCCCGCGAGGACCTTACTTGAGGCACAAATGCCCGCAGGGGCCTTGGGCTGCCGGAGGACAACGGGCTTGGAGGCATGTGGGGGGACCCTCGGGGCGTACTGGGGTACGGCTGCGGGGTAGTACTGGGGTGGGTACACGACCGGCGCCCCGGGCGGCTGCGAGGTGCAGAGGTGCTCTGGTTGGTACCCGTGGTTTTCGTAGTAAGGTCCGACGCCCGGCTGAGACCCCTAAACAATGAGAGAAGAGAGGCGCGTGAAGTCCTGCCTCGCCTGCAGCGCCTGGCACAGAGACCCCTGGGCCCTGCCAGCCGTGGGCAGGACGGGGCTCTGATGTCGCCTGCCTCCCCACGATAGCCAACTCCGAACTGCAGCCCCGTGTTTTCTTGCTGTGCTTTTAAATTTGATATAAAGAATGCATACTGTCTATTCTTGGACATAAAGAAGTGGCCAACATCAGGATTTAGTCTGGAAAAGAACGCATCTGGAAGCCTGCACCCCACTTCCTGCCAGCCAGCCTCCGTGGAGTGACCCCAGGATTTGCCCGAGGTCCGGCTGGCCGGCGCTTGAGGGCAAGCTGCTGCAAGCCTCTGTGTTCGTGACCTCTTAGGTGCCCCAAGATCAGCAAGGCACAATTCCCACACGCAGCTTTCAAGGAAATGGGCACGGAGAAGCCACGGACCGGCCGTTAGCAGTTCCGGACCCATATACGTCTCTATGCAGACGGGGACCACTGCCATGTGCAGGGCGTGGACGGCTCCACGACACCGCATTTCCAGGTCACGGTGCCCTCCTTACACAAATATGGAAGGAGAGGCCGGCCGCGAGCTTCACCCCACCCCCAACGCAGACCCACCCCACAACTGCTCTGGATCCCACAGCCACACCTCTTTCCACAACCACCCCACAGGCTTCACCTGTCCTCACAGGGGCCTTGGGGTTCCCACACAACCCGAGTTCATGTCCTCAGGACTGGGGAAGGAGCCTGGCTCAGCTCCCAACCCATGCTTAATAACTCACTAACACCGTCCTGAGTCCAAAGATTAGCACTTCACACGGGGCGCACTGAGGTGAGGAAGCTACAGCCCCAAGCTGATGGGGGTGGGCAGCTGTGGGAATCCACGGGGCCTCTGGTTAGGAGCCAGCCTCCTGGGAATGACCCACCCACCAGGCAGGCTGGAGGCGTCTGTCCAGAGAATTCCTGCACAGTGATTTGGAATTGAAAGGGTCCAATCCAAAATGAATGTCAGTACCCAATCAAAGGGACACAGTGCGTGTTCCTAGGATCCAGAGAGATGTTAACCGACCATCTGGTCTTAATTGAATGTACTCCTTCAGGCATATGGTGAGGTCCTCAAGGGGTAAAGATAATGACTATCTCCGGACGGATGGTGGACTTCAGGGCTCGGAGTGCACAGGGCACCCGGGCTGTCAGGGCGGGCACCGGTGGTGTGCCCAGCAGCCTCTCACCCTCCACCCAACCCTGCCTCACCTGTCTACATCTGCCCCTGCTCCACCCACTGCCTGAGCTGGTAGGGAAGAGGCCGAGGGGAAGGTTCGTACCACCATCCTCGACTGGCAGCTAGGGCTCCGGGCCCTGCTCCGCAGCTCTGGGCTCCCTGCATTCATCCTTCCTGGGCAGCCCCTTAGACACTGCACAACCATGCGTCCCCCACACCCGCTTCTCCACGAACTGACCCCTAACGGGGACCCTGACGGGGAAGGCGGAGGTAATCATTAATCACTTACTGAGTTTAAAGCCATCCTGGCCTTATCAACAGCATCAGGTACCGTGGGTCCTTGGGCCGGTCCAGATGCCCTGGAAGAAAGTCACAAGATGGTAATGTCTCCACACCTGTTGGTTTGCACAAGATAAGGCTGGACCGGCGGCCGCTGGGCGAGGGTACTTCTGGCCGGCAGGAGTGGCAGCTCCTGTTGACCTTGAGGATTCGCCACCATCACCTCTTTCCATGGTGCTTTGTACTTGGCAAGTTCACAGCCCAGGCACAGGGGAACCGAGCACCCCTGGGGTGCAAACCTGTCCTTGTGGGTCGGGGCTGGACTGTGCTTCTGAGGGACCTGTCAGGGTCCCCGAGACAAAGGGTCGGCTCACAGGAGCGTGCCCAGTGCTGACCCAGGTCCTCAAGTCCTCTTGCAACCCTGTGCAGCTCCCATGGTGGGGCTGTGCCGCCCTGTTCATCACATCTACCCAAAAGAGAATGCAAATTCCAGCATTCAGAGGCTGAAGCAGGAGGATCTCTGTGAGCTGAAGGCCAGCCTGAATTACACAGCAAGACCCTGCCTCAAAAAACAAACAAAAAGAGCAAAAACAGAATCCATGGGCTAAAAGCATGGAAGACCCATAGCAAGGAGACCTTGAAACCTGCCAAGTTCCACAGCAGGCCAGAGCAGCCAAAATCCTGGACCACCTCAGGCAGTGCCACTTCCTGGAGGTGCCCCGGGCAAGAAACCGAGGCTCGCCGAGCCCTGAGGCCCCGCCTCAGAGAAGCAGGCATTGCAGTGGACGCTGTGCCACTCAGGATGCTGAGCAGACGCCTGGCAGCAGTCACAAGACTGCAGTGTGGCCGGCGTCCCTGCACCCATGGGTGCCCATGAGTGCCCAGCCCTGCGCCCCAGACAGAGCAGGGGTCCAGGATGCGATGCCAGAAAGACATCACATTCAACTCCTTCAAGCATTTCCATAAACAGAGAGTTTTTTGAACTTTCATAAAACACATCCATTTCTACCCCACTCCAAACAAGGAAGGGACGGGGAGCTGAGAACCCTGACAGCTCCTAAGACTGGCAGCGTGGGAGGCACCTGGCCGTCTCGTCAGCACAAGTCCTCGGACACCGCCTCCCTTGCTCCACCCAACCTGGCCAGGCCCCACCGACCTTGGCTGCTCCCTGGTAGGAGCCATGTTAGCAAAGAACCCTACGAGCGTTCACCGCGAACCTCCCTGCTCACTTCCACGCTTCTCCCCAACACCCTGAGGTCACCGCCCGCCTCAGCAAGAATCCTGCTGGTCAGTTTCTCTGGGACCTCTCTCCCTGACGTCTCTTCCCAGTGATTCTCCACCCCGCCCCAGCTCCTAGGTGGTGAAACCCTGCATTCCTTTGCTGTAGGCAGAGTCAGGACAGTCTCTTTCCTCCACTGCCGGGTCTAAACACCTGCAGGATGGTTCTGAATGACCAAGTCCTCCTCACCTGGCCTTAACCATAGTCACTCAGTGAGGACTGTTCCCACCCCTCCACGCTGGGGCCTAAGAGGACCAAGGGATATTCTAAGAAATGACTTTGGAGATCTTTGACCCACAACACGAGTTCCTACTGTGGTCCAGAAGCCAGCAGAAGGCTGAGCTCTGCAGGCATCATCATCTGGGCTGGGTCTTTTTTGGTTATTTTTTGGGGGATGGTACTGGGAATCAAACTCAGGACCTTGTATTTTCCAGGCGGGTGCAGTACCACTGAGCTACGTCCTCAGCCCTGGGCTGGCTGGGCCTTTTCATCTCACTCCTGAGCACTGTGAGCTCCCGGGCAGCCAGTGGGGCCCAAGGCCTCCCAGTCAGATGCTCCAGACCCAAACCCAGGCTCAGCCCCTCACAGTGGTGACCTGGAGAAAGCCCGGGCCTGGCCTGGGCAGCAGGGGCCCCAAGCGAGCTGGCCAGGCTGTGTCCAGCTCCCGGCACAAAGGAAACCCGCCCCCACTTTTGTTAAATAAAAGCAGTTGCAGAGCTGAGCAATGTTTAACTTCCCGCTGCGGAGCGAGGGGCTGTCCGTGTGGCTCCGTCCCATGTGTCAGCGCTCCCAGGGCCTGACACTAAAGTCCACCTGTGCTGGAGCTGCCCGGACCCGAGCCCTGCAGACGCTACCGCTGAACTGAGCACCTCGTGAATCATTAAACCAACCGGAAAAACCCGGGCAACTCGTGAAAATAAAATCATGAGTCAAGCTTCAGCGAGGGTCACGGAAAACTGAGTCACCTTACTTATTTACTCTTCGTGTGCAGTGAAAACAGAAGGACCAAGCCATGTTGAGAGCCCCGAGATGATTTCTAAGATGAAAAATAAAGTCAGAAGCTTTCTGGATGGGAGGAGAGAACACCAGCTGCTGTCCGGGGGAGACACATTTAGATCACCTATGACGCGCTTTCCGGGGCCTGTTTTGGGAAGGGCGGACTCCAAGCATGGACAGGCATCGGCGTGGTAAGTCCTGCTCCCCCGTGTCGCTAGCAGGAGCCAGCTCCGCGAGGCCAAGGTGACTTTCCACAAACAGCCACACAGCCCACCTGTTTCCCTGCTCCCTGCAGCGGTGACTCCCGGCCACTCCCGGCCATCTCATCGGTTATAAGTTTGCCTGAGGTTTCAGGAAATGAAAATTCAATCCCGCTGGCAGTTTTCCCGGTGCCGGAGCCCTCTGAAAGCAGCAGTGGCTCCGTGCTAAAACTCCAGGCTGGCTCCTCACTCATAATCCCCAACAGCGAGGGAGAAGGAAGCCAGGAAGGGAAGCAGGGCCGGGAGCCACCGACGGGAATTGTCGGAGAAGAGCCACAGGGCCCGAAGCCAGACCACTCCGTCTCCCCCGGCCCCCCGCAGCCCACAGTGCAGGTCAGCCCAAGGGCCACCATGGGCTCTAGACAGAGCACCACTGCATCCAGCACCCCAAAAGAAGGGGAGGGGTGACACAGAAGGGGTGTGTCCAGATACCCCGGAAACCATATCCTGCTCCAAGCGCACGCCAAGTCGAAAACCACATGATCTGGTTTCTGGAAGAGCGAGGTGTTTTGGCTCTTCTGGGCTGTTTGCTCAGAAAGCCGGTCAGCCCGTGAGTCACCTGCACCAGTGTGCCACCGTGAAACCTCATCCCTGGCCCAGGAAATGATGACGTGCTCCCCAAACAAGCAGTTTCGTCTTAGAGTCTCTTCTCCGGAGACCTCGGGACACACGCGCCAGCCAGAGGCTCCTTTTGAAAATGACGGCAGCAGGGAGGATAAAGTCCAGTTCACGGGCACTACCGTCCATCCGGGGCCGGGGACACCGATGACGTCACCCCACGGGGACATCACAGGGGCACCCTCAGGAAGCCCCACGGCGGGCCGGGCACCATTCCAGTCACTGGGGTGCAGGTGCCCGGTTCCCCTCCACAACCTTGAAGGCCACACCTCCACCTTGGCCAGCACCCCGTATCCAGTGACAGGTGCGAAGAGAGAACCCCAAAACCCCGGCATGAAAACCTCACAGTGCGAAGTGCTCTCTCCCCTTCAGGGTGAGTTAGATGGAGATTAGGCAAGGAGAGCCTGCAGGGACAGCCCCACGTGAAGGAGTCGGACAGTGCGAGACCACCAGACAAATGGCCAGAACGGGGGGGGGCACCAGAGAGGCCGGCCGAATCGAACAAGCTTCTCTCTGTGAATGCCTCATTATCCCAAGGAGATTACAAACTTTTAGGGCAGGTCTCTCTCTCTCTCTATTTAGCTAGCTTTGCACCAAGCTTTGTACAAAAAGTAAATAAGAGACGGGAAGTCCACACCTGTACGGCACCAGCCTCCCAAGACAGAGACGGGGTCCTGGACACAGCAGTGCACACCAGCCCAACAGGGAGACAGGGGGCCCAGGCTGCTCCAGGGGGACCCTCGACACTGCCCAAGCCACTGGCTAGGGTGACAGGGCTTGTTAAGCAGACAGGACCGTTGGAAGGGTTAGGTGAGCAGGCGTGTCCCCAGGCTCTGGGGTCAGATGTTTCCCAGCAACAACCCAGGGGCCATGGGGAGGCTTCTCTCCCAGTGTTGAAGGCGCTGCCCTGCGGAGAAGGAACTCAGCGTGGTCCAGGTGCATCCCGAGGGCAATGCGGGATCATCCATCGGAATATCAGAAAGCAGGCTTTGACTCTTTTCTGGGAAACCAAGCTTCAACAGCTGGAAAGTTCAGTAAGGATTGGGTTGCCTGGGAAAATCCAAAGTTCCTCAAACCTAAACACATCCAGTCTAAAAGCCGAAAGGCCAGGTCCCCAGCATGTTCCCAAGCAGATCTGGGCTCTAGCCTCAAGCAGAGATGTGATCTTTAAAGTCACTCCCAAGGGCCAGTGATTTAGCTCAGTGGTTCCGCAAGCACAAGGACCCGAGTTCGATCCCCGCTACCAAAAGAAAATTTTAAAAATAAAGTCACTCCCAGCCAGGCGTGGTGGCACACTTCTGTAGTCCTGAGGCAGGAGGACCATCATGAGATCAAGGTCAGCCTGGGCAACTTAGTAAAACTACATCTCAAAAAAAAAAAAAAAAAAAAAAAAAACTCCCAGCCAGGCGTGGTGGCACACTTCTGTAGTCCTGAGGCAGGAGGACCATCATGAGATCAAGGTCAGCCTGGGCAACTTAGTAAAACTACATCTCAAAAAAAAAAAAAAAAGAAAGAAAACACAAAATAACATCTCTCCGGCCCATCAGAAACACATCACTGCCAGGGCCCTGGCACATCACAGTTACTTTTATAATCAGAATTCCACAGAATAAACTCCAAAGCAACTGTCCCTAGAACACAGCAGCCTGGGGCTGGGAATTTAGCTGTTTCTGCCGCCTGTCTCAAAAGTGCAAGGACCAGAGTTTGATCCCTGGTACCAAAAGAAAAGAAAAGAAAAGAAAACAGCGTCCTGAGTTCAGGCAGTGAGCTCCGGCCCCTGCTGGGACAGCCCCTAGGAAAGCAGTTGCCTTGCAGGGAATTTGACACTGGCTCTCGCACCTTGGGCAAACAAGCAGAACAAAGCCCGGGCTTGTTCCATCTGCCAATCCAATCTCACACGAAAAGACGTCTCTAGGTTGTTTTAAGACACTGAAAATTGCATATATATTTCAACACAGGTGCACCCCACTGCCACAGCCTCTCTCCCCGATCCTACCTGATATGCCTGGTTCTTCTCTCCCCACTGTGCTTGTGTGAACTCCACCACCACCAACGTCTTCTGTGGCCGCCTCTGTCCCTGAGCCCCTCCTGGCCACCACCCCATGCCTGAGGTTCAACCATGTACACACAACCCCTTCCCGACTTCCGCAGGAGGGTGAGGGGCACATCCTGGCCGGGTGGGCATGTATACCTAAAATTCCGGCCGTCTGGGAAGCTGAGGCAGAAGGGTTGGAAGTTCGAGTCCAGCCTGAGCAATTTAGCCACTTAGCAAGACGGCCTCAAAGTAAAAAACAAAACAAGGCTCAGGATGTAGCTCAGTTGGGAGGCCCTGCATTTGATCTCAAGAACTAAAAAAAAAAAGTCTACTTCGGGGCTACCTGCCTTCTCTAAGGCCACATCGTGTGCCACGCAGGCCGCTGCCCACCCCTGCCACTCCTTTCCGTGGGGACCTTTTCTGCCCCGAGTCTCCTGCGCACACCTGATACTTCTCGCCCATCCCCTGCCCAGTGGCTGCTGGGAAACTGAGGCCCAATCCACCTTTGCACTTAGTGCCCAGCTCCATATCCGTCCCCAGCATGATGAGATGAAACCTGAGGACAGCGAGCTCCCCTCATCCTCCGCAGGAGCTCTGTGCTAGACCCAAAAGCGCCCACATGGAGTCAGGAGCCGGCCTCCCGGTCCCAGGCCTCCACCCGGAATCAGGGGCCGGGATCCAAGCACCCACACACAGAGCCCCTGCAGCCGGATCCCCAAAGGCATCTGACCCTGCTCTGGGTTTAGGCAGAGAGCGAGTCCCCTCGGGGCTCCTGGATGCCACTTCCTGGCTGGCACAGGTTGGGCCTAGGGAGGGGGCAGCACGCACCAGGTGGGGCTTTTTCTCACACCCTTCTCCCTGCCTGCTTGACATTCTGACCTCAGGACAGAGAGAGCAAGGGAAGGGACAGACGTACTGGGACCCACGCTCACCCCCACCTACCCCTTCTGGAGAGGAAGCTGTCGGGCAAGCTACCCCGTTGTGCAGCCCCCATTTCCCTATAGCTGACTTGAACATACTGTAAAGAGCCCACAGCTAGTCGCCCTATCAAAGTGGCCAAATTTCCTCCTTCAGGTATGGTGCCCAGCTCACCAGCACGGCCAGAGTGGGTTGGCAGCCAGGGAGTGAACCAGGAGCCGGGCTCCACCTGTGGCAAGTGGGAGAGGAAAGAGATGGCCCGGGACCCAAGAAATGTCCACGGCGAGCACAGCACCCAGCCCGCAAGGACATCCCCTGACTCCGTGTGGACATTCTCCTTGCGGGACCCCAGTCTCCCCCTCACCTCACCATCCAGGATGGTCACGGGGACAGAGTCCCGAGGTCCCCACTGCAATGACTCCTGGGTCCCCTCTTGCAGCCCCCACCTTCCTGAGACCTCCTCCTCTCCTCCTGCAGGCCCTGCCCGCCCGCTCCCGGGTCCACACCCTTACACCACTGTGGCTCCACATTCGAGCTTCCCACTCCAGGCACCACTCTGGGCTCGGCCCCAGGACCCACGGGCTGCCCAGCCTCCAAGCCACGTCCAAACGACCCAGGCCCATGTGACTGCCTCACTGCCTCGCTCCCAGATGGGTACCTGGGCTCCACACAGCAGGCCGCTGGCCACCCTCTCACCTGGGAGCTGGGCCACCTTGCCAGTGCCTGGGCGGGGCACATGGGCCGTCCCTGCACACCAGCTCCGGCTCCTGGCACTCAATGGCCAGGCCACCTCCAGGGCCCACAGCCACCCACACCCAGGGCCAGGAGGCGGGGACATCCAGACTTTCAGGCCTTGGGGCAGCTCCTTAGCTGGGGCTGCCAGGTGTCTAACAGGATGCACCTGCCACCCTCCTGAGTCCCCAGCATAGGGCCTGGGGTCAGAAGCACCAGGGTGCCGTCTCCCGCAGTGTGCTGACCCAGGGCCCAGTGGCTCCGGGGGCCCAAGTGTCTGGTCCCCAACAGGGTCACGTCTCCCAAGGCCCAGGGGAGCCTGGCCCAGTCTGGCCCACTCCAGCCTGGTCCTGTCCTGTAGCCTGCTGTATCGCCCCCAGCATCTCCAGAGTTTCCAGTTTCTCCCCTCCTCGTGGGGAAGCGGGAGCAGAAGGAGTTCAGGTAACACACCGGCTGCCCAGATTTCCCCAAGACAAAGAAAAGTGCCAGAGAGCCTCCCTGCCTTGCCCCAGGGAAAAGGGCGGACCCCAGGCTGCCAGGCAAGACGTGCAGGGTGGTGACAGGGAGCAGGCCCCACCCCAGGGCCCCTCAGTGTCCTCCTCTCCCACCACGAGCCAGGACCCCAGAGCCAGCAGCCCAGCCGCGCGATGCCCAGGGAGACAGCTGGCACAGATTGAGTGGGGTGAGGTGAGGTCCCCCGCTCCCCAGGAAGGGTGCTTTGCCCGCCCCAGCCACGGTGCACCTGTGGCCCACACCTGCTTCAGCTGTGCACCCCCGAATGGTTTTTCATGGGCTCTGAGGTCCGGGTTCAGGACCCCCAGCCTGGAGCCTCCCTTGGGGACCCAGGCAGCGCACAAGCCTGCTATCACTTGTGCTCACCTGTGCTCACCTGGGCCCAGCTGCGCTGCAGGACCGTGCTTCAGGCCTTGCCGCCTCCCTGTCCCCAAAAGCCCAGGCCAGGGCGGGCTTTAACCTCAGGGGCGGGGCCACAGGGGCCATGGG